ATCAGTTATAATACACAATAGCAGTTGAACCAAGGCTATCGAAAAAAGGGTTAGCACAAGGTGGATAGTCTGGCCAAAGCCTGTTTTTTTTAATCCTGGACTCAGATTTTCAAAAATGGGTTCTTGGCGTATAGGGTCTTGCCATTTGCCACTTCAAAATAATAGTCCTTCGTTTATTTCATGATAATTGACAAAGCATGAATAAGAGTCGAAAATATTTTCCCAAATGAGGTGAAAGGATTACTATAATATCCTAAAAAATAATTTCTTTTTCTATCCCTTTTGGCCTTGACGGCTAAATGTAAGGAGGTTATGCCGAAGTAGTCAAAATAAGTCTCTCACGTCCGTACCTTCCGAAAGATCAAACACCAAAAGATTTGTGAAGATCATTATTAGGACATACCTTTCTCTCTAAGACCACGAGAAAACACAAATTCAGGTAAAACATCTTTTAAATTTTCATGGTTCAAAAATCAAGGAAACAGTACCACTTGGTCTCTAATGTCTACTGTATAATAAGTTTAAGAAACAATCGAAACACTATCTCTTGACCATCTGGGCTGTACTCATTACCCTTTTTTTTCTTCATCATTTGTAATGATATGACTGATGTAAGTGCCCTAATAGTATGTAGTATGTACTGTATTGTAACTGAATTCATGAATTCATATCGTGACTCGAGAAAAGCAACTTGAAGTATGTATACCAAAGGGAAAAGACAGGCTATTGTCGCCCTTTTTTCTGCACCTCATTGGAAAATAGTATAAACACATTTGACATATTTTGCTTTAGCTTTAGGACATTGTACTGTAAAAATTGTCGAAAGAGGAAAAGCCTTCTTTTTTACCGATAATTTATCATTTTTTCTTGTGTTTAAGTTTGAAATGTTGTGTATCTTTTACCAGTAATTTAATAGGGCTGGCCATTTTATTTCTGCTGGAGGACTTGGATATAGATTTGATAAAAAAAGAAAAAATACACAGTGAGTTTGACTCACATTTACATCAATAAATCAATCACAGCAGTTGGCTAGGAAAACGTTATACCTACCCCCACAAAATAAAAAGTCAACTAGTCGGCAAGTAAAGTTGGGATGTACTAGTCAAGTGCTTAACTCCAAATTTTCGCGGAAACGTTACACAGCGGATACAAGCATCAAAATCACCAGATTGTTTCCTTAATTACTATTAAACATTTTTCTCCGTGGATCCACGTGGATTTTTGCGTGCAATTTGAATAGTTTCTCTCAAAACAAAAGCATGTCCAAACTGTCGGGCGCTGCTTCAGACGCCATGTTGTTGTGGTGCTTTTATGTAATATATCAAACATGAGACGCAGTGTTTCATCACCAGATGAAACACCGAGAAGAGAGTTGAAAATACGACGCGCAGCGGAGTATTTTTGACGAACTTCGAGGTGTTTCATCTGGTGATGAAACACTGTGTCGAATGTTTGATATTTCTTCTCAAACAAAATCATTTTTGAAGGAGAAATTAAGGATGCAAATACTGAGCAGTTTTTCATCCGATTTCCAAACACTCATTAAACATTAATTTTCTTTGTATTTTCTTTATGAATTATTAATGAGTTTGAGAAGTTGGGATCAAATCAGTGCTTCTTAACCTGGTATGTATACAATGTTTCTTGTAGTTTTGCTGTTAAAAGACATTGTTGTTATATTTAGAAACCTATAGAGGTCCAAGCTATCATGAATTATAGTGAAATTTTCCTTAAAAGTACGGTGAAACGGGCAACAAAAAAGTGCAACTTGTTTTGTAAAATTGGTGCTAAACGAGTTGAATAGTGTCTGTGCGGTCACATGACTATGACGTAGGTGAAAAGTTGCGTTTTACCACCTACAAAAAAAACCTTGCAACCTTATTTGTTACAAGACAGGTTCGAACGTCGGTGGTCAAACGCGAAACATCTCGGATCAATCTTAGCAGCTGGGCACAGAACCTTGTATAAAAACAGTAACAGAATATAATATACAAGACCTTATATATTCCACTGCACCCAAATTACCCTATTTTAGTTGCTGTGTCACTAAATAACGCAATTTAATTAAAATAGCTCATTACTAAAAGTCCTTCTTACGAACACCTTCTTGAACACTTAAAAATTATGTAAAAAGTTTTTGTTGTCTTTTGTGTATGAACTACAGAAGGCTTTCGTAAGATACTTACAGAAGGCTTGTGTAAGAGTGCTTACAGAAGGCATAAGAGTGCTTACACAAGCCTTTTGTAAGATACTTACAGAACGCGTAAGAAGGCTTACAGAATACTTTTGTAAGACTCTTTATACAAGGCTTGTGTAAGCATCTAACACAAGGCTTGTATAAAGAGTCCTTACAGTAGACTTGTGTAAGGGTGCTTACACAAGGCTTGTGTAAGATACTTACAAAAGCTTGTGTAAGAGTCCTCACAGAAGGCTTGTATAAGGGTCCTTACAGAAGGCTTGTGTAAGATACTTACAGAAGGCTTGCGTAAGATACTCTTACACAAGGCTTGCGTAAGATACTCTTACACAAGGCTTGTGTAAGATACTTACAGAAGGCTTGTGTAAGAGTCCTCACACAAGATGTGTGTAAGATACTTACAGAACGCGTAAGAGTGCTTACAGAAGGCTTGTGTAAGAGTCCTTACAGAAGGATTGTGTAAGATACTTAAAGAACGCGTAAGAAGGCTTACACAAGGCTTGTGTAAGATGCTTACAGAGTGCTTGTGTAAGAGTCTTACAGAACGCCTAAGAAGGCTTACAGAAGGTTTGTGTAAGATAATTGCTTGTCGGCTTGTCTTACAGAAGGCTTCTTTAAGATACTTACAGAAGGTTAAGAGACATCACTGACGGCTTGTACGAGAAAGGCTTGTGAATCGCTTAGGGTCTTTTCGAAAGGCTTGCGTGAGAGTCGCTATACTATGTGCAAACGCCTTTGGTATCCATCTTTAAAACTGCTTTTACGCCATTAGAATCATTGATATATTTTTGGCGATGGAAGTGATTAATGCCACTTGCAAAGTATGTTGGCGATTATCGGTTAACGATGATTGTTCGCTCCATCTGAAAGAGTACTTCTCTTCTTTCTTTTTCTTTTTTGAGAACATCTCAAGATATTGCCGATGATTTAGTCGTTTTTAATCCTTCCAAGTTACCCACAACACAAATGATACTTTTTGCTGAGTTCCTATAAGCGACTTTATTTTTAAAACTCAGTCAACAAACAACAAATAACAGTACAAAAGAATTAATAATCCGTAAAGGATTTTCCCCAAGCTTTTTGCATGGCTCTGTCTTTTTTTTTTTTTACCCAGTTTCTATATAAATCTATAAAAATGTTAAATACGATGTTAGAATCAACGTATTCACTGTAAGGTTCGGTCTTTTTCTCTCTAGTCCTATGCTGCTATGTTCTGAGCAACGGTATTTAAAAAAATTACGTAAATAGCATTCCATTTTTTTGTAAAATCCCACTGATTTGTCGATTATTCAATTTTTTCTTTTCTACATGCATAAAAACAATGTTTTCACATTCATGGTACCCACATTAAATACTCATCTAACATTGATATATAGAGATCAAAATATAGGTCTCTTGTGCAATCTTAGCCTAATATTTTCTTAGTAGCGCACGTTCCATATTTTTACATTCTAATTCGCAATCCCCGGAAGAGACACGAGGACAAAGAAAAGCGGTAGCCGTTAGAGTGAATGCATGGCAACTGTTACAATTGGGCCTCATCTCAGCTGTATTTAATACATGGAACGTGGGCGATTTGACTGTCTGTTAGTAATAGTAACACTATTATAATGATATCAGTGATGGTCCCAATGAATGATGCCAGGTGAGAAAATTTCACCACCCAGCCTACACTTACTAAAGGTCGATCTCACAAGTTGCGGCTGGCTATCCTGTTCCAGGCTGCGAGATAGTTTTCCATCTTGCTACAACTAAGGGAGCTTTCCATTTGTCAGAACGGCCAGACTGTTCCCGTCTTAACGAAAATTTCACTTTAAATCAAAACTATCCAGCCTGATCAGTCAAGTCTCAAAAAGTATGCACGGAGGAGATGGCTTTTTAAGCAAAAACCCTTGCTAAAAGCCGATTTCATTTGCTAACGTACTGGTTCAGCAATTGTCCAGCCGGTCAGTTCTGACAAAATGGAAAGCACCCTAAGTGATGAAGGTCTCTTTTTTTAGGTACGCTGCGCTGATTCCGAAACTAACTGAAAATCAAAACAAACTGAGCTACTTGACTGTTTACTAGGTAAATGCGGAGTGAATTATATAGAGTGAATACTCAATGCATAGAAATTATATTAACAAATATTGGAATCTGCATATTTAAGTGGAAAGTGAATGCCGTGTTCAGTAATAATTTTAAAAAAAACATGTAGGTTATCCAACGCTTAATTATGACCAAATTATAATCATATTATATACACATTTTATTATTTAAATAAAAAAGAAAAAAGGAAAAAAATGAAAAAAGTATTCAATTTCCACTTGTCCTCAGTGTCACCTGTTGAGATAACAACAAAACAAAACTGTAAACAAAATAAAACTACTTGCGTCGTATAAAAATAAAAGAAAAAGTAGAAAATAGGAGTCGTAAGTTTGCTTTATGCTTCGCGTTTCACCGCTGTTGCGGCTTTTCAGGCATAGTGTCTTTATTGACCTGTTTTCATTCCAACAGCAATTTGCATAATTTTAAATCCAACTTTTATTTGTCGTTGTTTGTTTAATGTGAAAATGAAAAAAAAAATGGTGTTAGACCCTCAGAACATTTATCAATATGTTCAGTATTAAACTCCCACCATTTCTTTGTGCGGGTCTCTGATTTGTTGTTTGTGAACCGTCACTTTTTTTCTTTGGACATCACCCGTTTCTCCTTTGTAATCTAGTCCACATTCTGTACAAGTTATAACATACATCACATTTTTAGAGGTGCAGCTTCAGATTTCAGCGAGCCGTGAAATGTATTAAAACGAAACAAAATACACTTAAAGAAGTCTTACCATTGTACTGTCATTGGCATCTTCGTCGTCATCATCATCTTTTATGGGAATTTTAGGGTCCCTTGGCCCTTCCTTTTAACGTAAAAAAGGATTACGTTTATAAGAGGATAGCCACACCGTCACTAAATTAGCTCATGACTTAAGAATGTACCTATTTGAATTTAACGCTCACAGTTATATTACCTTTTGTTTAAATTTGTTGATCCGCCTTTCTCTCACCTAAAAAATGTAATGATACATATTTACATACACCCATAGTATACCGCGTTTTTTATATATCTGTCATGTTTTGGTTGTCCACGACAAACTCTACACTTAAAGAAAATTAAATATTGCGTCATCGATTTTAGCCTGTTCCAGGCTCTCAGATAGTGGAGAAGATGTGAAAGTAAAAGGCAAGAGACAAGTTGCCCTCCTCTCCCTAGTTCCTCCCGTTTTAATTTCGTGTTTGCGCTTTCTCAATTCAGCGGACCCAACTATCTCAGAGCCTGGAACAGGCCAGATCGATTTATGGGGTCAACGTTATATGTGGTGTTAAAAAAAAAAATAACGCAGGCCTTTGTATCAGTAGACGTCACTTCAAGTCCATCTTTATGAGCATGGTCTTGCGCTCATTTTACATGCATGAAACGGTGAATAAAACATGCGTAGCCCCATAACACCTTATCATGTACATTTACCTCCTCCGTGTCAACAACAGTTGCATCCAAAGACTCCTCCTCATGATCATCTTCTTCTTTATCCTCGCCAATTTTGACGGCAGGCAACTTCCAGAAAAAAAATAGATTTTGATATCTTTATAACTTATCACTTTTTTAAACTACAATGCTGATGGAGTAGACAACTATTACATCCGTAAATAAGGCTTTGTCACCAGGTGTTTACGAATTTGCATGTGGAAGTTCAGAAGTTAAAGTTGATACCCAACGATATCGTTTGTCTCCGTAAAGTTAACTTTTGACACTGTGTCAGTGACCAAGTATTTATTGCTTACCTTTTTTTGTGCATGTGTTCTGCAGGACATTTCCTAGAGAAAAAACATATTTGGTTCATTGTACATTAGTCGATTGTCTCGATTTAATTTTAAATGTGGTTTACTTGGAGTTGTGTACATGTATACAGTTGTGTACATTACGTAGTATTTCTAGTCTGTGCAGCAAGTGTTACTGTCTGGTTTTCGTGAAAAGAAAAACTGAGGAACGGCGAAAATCGGGATTTTCGGTTTCGGTCGCGTGCAAAAAAAGGGAACAAGAGCCCCCCTCCCCACTCTCTTTCCACGTTCTTTGCTCCAAAAACACTTGCTACGAAGTACTGATAATCTTGTTACTGTTTTTTTTTTTACGTTAAATCAATTGTCTTTTCCTATTTTTGGTTCGCAGTGTAGTCTCACAAATGTACGCTGTAGCTGATTAAAGGGAACTGTAAATCAAAGTCATACGTTTTCTGTCGCCTATCGGCCTAGTTTGGAGTATGATAAAAAGCATAATTTTCAATAACACACATTGAAGAAGTATTCAAGGGCTTCAAGGAACTCAAAGCGCTCACTAGCAGTTTACTTGTCAACAATTAGCACTGCAGTGGTACTCCAACTCACCGACGCTCTTGCCTCCATGTCTTGGCACTCTCTTAAATTTCTAGTTTCAACTATCAGGTCCCTGAAACGATTATGATAGACATGAATACATTTTGCTAGACCTAGTAGAATGCTTTCGTTTCGATTGTCCCATCAAATTTTGAGCCTGATAAGAGACATTCTGGTTATGTTTAAAATTATGCCATTTGGATTCAAACTGAGGAACCGTATTTCGAGAGATAAGAAGGAGGTAAAAAATGGAATATTGATAAACTCGTCCATAATCTCATCCTTAATTAGGAAAAGTTGGGGTAAAATTTACCATGAGAGAAACTACAAATACATCATCACATGTACCTTTGACAGCATACGGCTTGGGCAGCCACAATTGCCTCTCCTACTGCCCTCCTCACATTCACAGTCAAATCATCTCCTTCAGGGCAAAATTGGATTGGTTATATTAAAGGTAAGGCAGTCTGGTCGAGTAGTCAGCGCGTCGGGTGCGCAATGCGGCGGTCCCTGGTTCGAGTCCCGCTCTGACCACATCTGGATTTGTTCTCGGTCATTCCCGAGTTCAAATCCTTGGCCACGCTTGTAAATATCCAACTGGTTGTCTCCTGCCAGTTGAGGGTTTTTAATCCTGTTATGTTGTATTAGATTTTTTTTCAAGTCTTTGAGTGGAGTGCTGCCCTATAAACTACAAATTGAATGTGCACTTTCCTTTTAAACAAGATTGTTAGCTGAGGGGGAAACAAACTAAGTATGGTTGGACGCAAAATATTGCTGACATAACATTCAGTCATCAATGGAGATTATCTCCATGTCTTTGCGTGGAAGCCATCAATCGGAGGAATTCGAACCAAATAGTGAGCTTTGATTGTTTGTCCGTTTTCAGTTTTGACCCCAGGTGGTCAACGATAATCATCACAATAACAATATTAACGAGGACATTAGTAACAACACCAAGAAGAAAAATTTTCAATGACGAATTGTGGGCTTCCTTTTGGATCTTGCTCACAAATATGGCAAAGGTTAGATTCAGTGAGATTTAGTGTTTTCATCTGTCCCTTACACCAAGTTGACACACTTACCAGAAATGATGTCCCCAACTACCATGTTAGCCAATGACATCGTGGGCTGGTACACTCTGACTTCCACATCTGCCCCGTTCTCGCTCTGCCGCGCATGATTTCTACATACTAAAAGTAAAAGTAAAACCAAATGAATAAAGAATGGTACAAATGTTTGGCAGAGACCGGCAGCCAGGGATGATGTAGGAAAACACCCAGAAGAAGTATAATAGAAAATCATGTACAGCACAAGCTAAATCAACCCATTAAAGGTTTGTTTTTCTCTCTTTCTATTCGCTCTAGCAACAGTAAAATGGAAAATGTTGTTTTTTTAATTTGCTCATTTACCATGGGCAAGGGCAAAATGTATTACCATTTAATTACTTAAAACAAGTCTAGTGCCTTGTTACAAAATAGCTGTTATTTGCAGGCCCAACGTGATATTGAAAGTCAGGAATTGTTGCAGAAGCGTACATACATGTATCTCACAATAACTTCATTGTCAAATTGTGAGCCTTTGAGTGCCACATGTACGTGGCACTTGTTTAAAAGGTCACTACATTCTGACATCAGTTCTCTGTCAATAAAAGATGTATAAAGAAGTTAATAAGTTCTCGTCGAATGTACCAAGTCACGCAGTTACGTTCACAAGTTCAAATAACAATAACTCATCAGCCTCAAATAGGCAATCAATCTTGGCATATAAACAAAGTGAGAAGGGAAAACAAAGATTATATTCTAGTGGACAGGGAAGTCACAATCATGGACTGGGTATTCTTGTTTCACCTTTGAACCAGAACAATTCTCAAAGTGAGTTCAGGTACATTGTATGGCCCTTCTCACATTGCATGCAATTCCAGCAACTGCTTTTTTTGTACTTACTACGAGCAAAAAACAACAGGAAGTTCAGTTCTGTTTTCATAGTATATGATTATGTGGAAAGAAGAAACAAAGTCTGGAGTTTCCCCCTTTTTTTCTTTTGCAGCTTATTTAGAATTTATTTAAAGCCCCTATGTCTATTTCATTAGTTTACAGACTTGGATCTTAATGTTCTGTGAAGAGGCCAAAACTTGTACACAAAGCTGGTACCCTTCTCACTCCCTTACGTAATACAATAACCCATTCTCTGTCTACCTTAAATTTCCGCTGCCTCTTTGGTTGGCCTGTGTCTTAGGATACAGACCGGTGTGGAGTCATAATGACTCTGTAATCAAACCTATGAAATACAGTGTATGAAATGATGTCTTTTTACAAAAAGGTGATTCAGATTACCACGTCCATTAAACAACAAATCCTTGTGTATGCACTAACTAACACATACCTGTGAAGGTGCCAAACATAAAGGTAAAAGTCTTTGTGTCACCCCATTCAAGTGGAGAAGCTCCTCCATTAACCTCAAGTCAAATGAGGAACCATATGAGCATGCATCTTTGTATAATTTCAAATAGCACAAGCTTACATGATTGGGTAATAATACTTGGAAAAGTAATTTACTATTAATACAAAGTTATTTTTATCATGATCAGTTGTATAGCAGAGCTGTATATTGAGTGTCAATTGACTTAGAAGCACTGCATGGTAGTTTATGTAGAGAATTCTCCACGTATTGTAGTGATGTAAGGTGTAATTGCCACTGAACCAATAATATGGACAATAATAATTAATATTTGTGTATGTTTTTGATTCGCAGTTCGGTAAATATCCATGACTAGCCACCTCCACTTCAGTGAATAATTGTTTTAGTAT